ACATGTCCTTAGTTGTTAAGAAATTTCTAAATCGTATTGACTAACAACACTCTCCAGATTTAGGAGCTGTTGCTCTACTGAGGTGTCTAACTTGTGTCCATCTTCTGTGACTTTGCTATCTTCGCAAACATTATCTTAATACATTTCTTACATGATTTTGATGATGCATAGTTATTTAATTTCCAATTCATATAACCAAGCTAAATATAACCAAGCTAATAGAAATAACTATTTTACTAGGTTGAGAGCCTCTTGAATATAGATACTGATAAATCCAACTTTTAACCCCCAGTGCAGAATTCAGTGCCTTATTTACTGTACTTGTTTTACCTATTCTTATTACATAATGACAGAATTTATGAAAAATGTGGTGCATTTTATCCCATTGATTCTTTGAATGAAATGCCTGTTTTTCTCACCTCTCCATAATAAAATCTCCAGATTGCTCAAGGTTGATTCTGGAGCCCTCTGTTCCTTTTTCATCTCTCCATTCTCACAACTTAACACATGCATATTGTCTGCCTGATATTTAACATTTTTTAGAATTGTTTTGTAATTTTTATTATTTGTCTTATAAAAGTTTATAACATTCTAGTGATTAACATCAGAGAATTGGGGGAGGATTGGATAAGGCTATAATCCCATATCTACAGCTATGCAGCTATGTGACCTTGAGCCACTTACTGGGAATCACGGACCAGCAGTTCTTCATCTGTTAATGGGTTTGGATATAGATTGTAGGATTGTCGTGTAATTTAAATATGTATTTTAAATGTTTAATGCAATGCCTAAATGTGGGCTCTCAAAAAATGGCAACTGAAAAAACTTTTATAGTGTTTAGTACAATTCGAGAAACATGATAAACATTCCATAAATATGTGTGAGTTGGCTGACTGAAATGCCTGAGTTTCAAAAGAGCTAAATTGAATGTTCATTTGACTCTTTGGATAATGGAAAGAAGTTTCTCTGGCATCTCAATGGTTGATTATGCAATCACATGCTTTGGCGCCTGAACCCTGTACTCTGCTCCCGGGTGCTCCTCAGATGTTTGTTCTATTCTAGGAGTCTCACTTGAGTCTCACTTTACCACAGCCGTATGTATTGGGGATTGCATAAACATCCTGCCTCAGTCAAAAGACACTGGGCTCTTGTAAGGACGAGCGACCCGCATGTACTATTGATGTCTTCTTCATTCTTACAACAGTTCTCTTGTCACGTCATATCTCCGCTCTTTGATTCTCTACCTGCAGGAATGGGTTCAGACTCTTGTAATTCTGCAGAGGGCAGACTGCCATTGGCAATTTGAATGAGATGTGTAAAAAGTGAGAAAGGAAACATGTCTAACCCCCTTATGGATTGAAAGAAGAAATCTCTTTCCCGTTTAGTAGTTCCGGGAAAATACCAATGTTCTACTCTAAGAAAGTAGGCAAAGAGGAACCACATAGTTCAATTTCTCCGTAGGACTGTCTCTACCCAAGCCAGACACAGTAAGGGTTAGGGTAACTATGTAATGTAAATTCGATACTCATCAAAGAGCATCACTAGAAAAGAACACTAGGTATAGCCACAAAGCCATCCTGAGCAGCTGACCATGGTGCTGGACTTCTTCACTCTTAGCCTGAATTTCTGAATTGCAAGTAACTGATTAGAAAATGAATACACATTGCAGATGAAGAACTGTTACTAACGGAGACATGGCTGAAATGTCCATATAAATTGGAGAGGGAAAACCCAAAACTCTCTTTATTTGACCAGCGCTATTCTTTAACCCGTTAACTTGAATCCTGCCTCTCTTTCTCTCTGTCTCTCAGCTCTCCTATATTTCTATTGCTTTTCTGATTCATTTTTTTAACAGAACAAACCTGATCATGGATGTCATAAACTCTTTCCCCTTTGAGGCTATGTGACAACAGGAAAAGAACAGTATTTTAAAATAATATTTAAAGAATTCATATAAATAACTAAGACAAATATTGAAAAGATACTAAAATGTTAGTAAAAGAGATAATCAGGTTGTAGGATTTTGATTTTTTTCCTTTTTTATAGTATTTTCAGTTTTTTAAAAACTGATAAATATTTTATAATCTAAAATTAATAGCAAAACACCTGGTTAGATATAAGTAGATTGTAATGGTAGCTACACTAACCACAGTCTGTGTAAATGGCACAAGTAATTTATCCTCTTTGAGCCTACTATTTCATATCTGTAAACTGGGGCTAATATGTACTTATGCCATAAGTCTTCCTTGAGGATTGGACTGGACCTAACCACACTGTGGATACTCTGTAAATATACCCCATTGTCAGAGACAGTGGTGGATCATGGAGGAGTCAGGAGTGCAGACTTGAAGGTGAACAAGCCCGACAGGAATAATGAAATTTGTGATGAAAACCCTGTTTCTAATGTACTCAATTTTCCTCAAGCACCTACTTTAGGAAGGGGTTCTCCTAAAGGCTAGAGATACAGAAATGAACAAGGTGTTATCCTGGTGCTTATAAAACCTGTATTAATAGATTTTCCACTATGGGCAAAGCAGAGGTATTATCACTCCCCTTTGCTTAGTGCTTCCAGAGATCTTCTAGCTGTAATGAGGTAGGAGGGGCTAAAGTACTAATCTGTGGCAGTGTTTCTCTAGAAGAGGAACCTAGAAACTTAGGCTATTTAAGAAGTATCCTCGGTGACTGCTTCAAACAGGTGAGTACAGAAAACACTCAACTGTGGTAAACCGATAAAAAGGAAGAGCTTCAGAAACAGATAAAAAGGATGAAGACATTTTTAAACTATGCAGAATATAGCTAAAATATATTCTTACTACTTAATCATTCACCAAGTAAGGTTTTACTTAATTACCACCATGGTTGGAAATATAGAGAAGACGGAAACTGGGAAGAAAGACTTATCCTGCCATCTACGTATCGTAGCAAGAAGTCGGTGCTATTCATCTTAATATTCCATTTATATTCAGAAAAGCCAGCATAGTTCAGGGTGAGGCATTCAGATATTGTTGGAATACATGAGCAATACTGAGCTTCTATTTTTGGCATTTGTCCATGTTTACTCATTGCTATAGAAAATGTATTTATAGTGTTCTTGATTTTCAGGTCCATACCCTGCAAGACAAGTCATTAGCCCCAGATTGGAAATAAGGAAACTGAGGCTCAGAAGACATTCACCATAATAAATCACATAATAAATAAAATAAAAAACATAACATAATTTGATGGCACATCTGTAATCAAAACAAAACGTGTTACATGACCATACCTATGCTATTTCTACCATCCACACCATGAATGAATCTGGTTTACAACATTAGATTTTGTATGTGGGAGCAGAGTTTTGGATGTGAAATGCCATACCTGAATTGGGAATCTAAACAGTAGTAACTGAAAGATTTCTTAATGTTACCAGTAGAAGACACCTGCTTTGCTCTTGATAAGTAATAACAACTTTACCCACAACTCAAAATGCTGTGTGAGCCACTTGTAACTGGGAGGCTCAGCTTCATTCATCTGATCTCCTTTCTGGAAAACTGAAAACCAGTTCATGGATTGATGCATGTTTGTGTAGTACTTGGACACCCAGCATTCAGAAAGTTCTGATGCTTGCTTCTTTAGTTATGGTAATTACAACCAATGAGGTTACCAGCACAATTTTTTACCACTCTCTTCTAGGTGAGATTCTACTTTTAAAGGTATTTTGGAGTGTACTTCATCTAATATATTAGGTGTCAATTTTGAGTTAATTTGAAATCTAGAGATTCTTTCTGCTATCCCTGCCTACAGTCACCATGGGGCCCCAAGAAGACCCTCAGAAATGCTTCAAAATTATACTGTTTGGTTTGGGGGCACTAATATTCATTCTTATGTCTCTCCAGCTAATTGCTAAAATTTATTTAACTTTTTTGTCAATTTTCCATGCAACTTTTTTTTGGTCAATCTTCCATGCAACTTGATGTTACAAATTACATTTTGCAATTTCTTTCCTTCTTTACTATTTTATAGTAAAGACAAAACGATAACTATTTTCCTCTCCCTTTAATATTAGGAAATATCAGATGGGAAGCAGGGAGTCATTCTTACGAAAAACAGTCATTTACTTTTTTTTCAGCTTATCTCTTTTTTCCTTTCTTTCTTTTTCCTATAGAAGAGCGTTTTTGTTTTGTTTTGCTTTGTTTTGCTTTTGTTTTTTTGTTTGCATCCTTGGGAACTGTGCTCCTGCCTTTTGCACTCAACTTACCCTTCCTTCAGAAGTGCCTTTGATCATGTACAGGGGGCTGGGCCTCTCTCCTCTTTCTCTGGGATAAGAAATTGGTCACAATGAACGCGACCTACCTGCAGCGCAACAGGTCCTGATGGACGCCAGCCCACAGTGGCAGGCTGTGTCCTAACCGTGTGGAGGCAGGAGTACTTCTGTACTAAGTTTAATGGAATCTGGTGAGTCTGGGACTTACCCTGGTACAGCAAGGGGACCTAAAGAAAATAGTTTCCCTTAAAAAGACATGGGAATGCCTAGAAACTTAGATTTTTTTGCCTCACACTTATGGTCCCCTCTTCCCCAACACAAAATAACCCAGAGCAACCAAAATGCTTCTCCTTCATTTTCCCTCTGAAACTTAACTTTCTTAAATGTACCTAATAGAATAAATTCTGAGCAAACCTCCTTATAAAATGTGTATATACAAGCCTCCTTATAAAATGTGTGTACAGTTAAACTTGTGAAAGATTGTTTAGAGTTTGAGTTACTAAGAGAATTAAATGGATAAATACGTAGTTAGGCCAATAAATACATAACAATGAATTTGCAACTCTCCCTACATATCAGTGTTATATTGTGTCAAAGAATGCTATATATGCCTTAAACATTTATATCCCCACCAATATTACTTAGATTGTGCTCCAGTGAATTCCACCAGATACACTGCAAGTGTCAGACACTGTGACCTGTGGAGTAAAGGGGCTTTCTATCCCTGGCATTGGAAGGGGAAGTCTGAGCCTACCCAAGTTGAGGTGCAGGGAGAGCCTCCCCTTCTGGAGTTCCAAGGTGATGTGGTCTCCACGCTGACCTTCTCCATGGAACAGGACCCCATCTCCTTGCATGCTCTTGAACTTCAGGGAGATCACATCTTTGAGAGTACTCATCAACTTCTGATTGAACCTGTACAGAAGTGAGCTTCGGCCATCAAAGTCAGCAACGTCTGATTCTGGGAACAAAGAAGGAGCGGGAGAGAAAAATCAGTGCATATCCTCATGACTGCTGTTCCTGTTTCCCTTATTAGTTTGTGTCCAGTTCACAGAAATGTTCTTGAGATCTGCCAGGTCTAGTCTCAACAGGAAACATGTAGACTAGAACCAACCTAATTAGACTCAAGGGAATTATTCATTTACAAGCAGTCACCACACACTGAGTCAAAGTGAACTGATCATCAGTTTAGAAGTAAAAACTCTCATTAGTGGTATGTCAGCTTTTGCTGGAGGGGACAGGGTGAGAATACCGCAAGTACCTATGTCTGGCTTACTACGTCAGATGGCTTAGAATAATCTCCCATGATTTGTCTTCCTGACAGTCAGAACCACTTGATCTCCTCATCTCAGACACAACATTAGAGATGAAAAATAGATATAATAATGATGCCAACTCCACATAGTACTGTCTCCCTAGAAGGCTGTGTTGAGGAGGATTCTGAGGCTTCTACTGCGTTCAGTGGGAAAAAAATACTCAGCAAAAGAAGACTCGCATTTGAACAAAGAGGGCAAATGTACTACATTCCTGCCATAACTGCCTTGTCTGTGCTGGTGATATTTATCATTTTAGTGTTTTTATACAAAACATTCAATTCATTATTGTCAAAGCAAAAAAAAAAAAAAAAGGGGGGGAAGGTCAAGTAACCATGATTTAGATAAACTTATGTAACAGGTATGTGCAAACATACCTGACAAATTATGCCAAAAATCTAATAGAGATTCTATTTGGAATGTGTTGTTGTAGGTTATTTTCATGTTTTTTTTTTCTATTTTTTAATTACAAAAACTTCTATAATGAGCTTTTATTGTAGAAAAAAATGTAAGACTGTTTAATTATACATTGAAACTGATTCATTATATACTATGTTCTGTGGGTGGGATTGTGGTGATTATGTGGAGGGAGTGGGATTTTCTATTTAAAATTGAGTACCCAAGAAAACTCAATTTTTCTATTATCCATCATGCAATTAAAATCCTCAGCCTGAGCATACACAAAGATAATGTTTTTTTCCACCAAGGATCTAGAAACATTCTTTGTGAATCTGAGGTTCTGAAATGAAAAGGAAAATGAAATAATACTTTTCTGTAATTAGTTTTAAAATCCAACTTCACAATTTATTTATATGGAATGAAGTGGTCCCAACCATAAGGCTGCTGATGGAAACCTCGACTTTAAAAAGAAACTGTCCAGAAGACTTTCACAAATGTCCACCTTTCTCGGCACCTCCCCTCCCTACCTCATCAATGCATTTATGCCTGTTATCTCAACTAGGATTCCACCCAGACCAAAGTGGGGCCGCAGACCAACAGTTGCCACCACTCATGGAGTAGTGAGGACTGTGATATAGATAAGATAATGGATTCTCAACTGTGATGACCATAGTTTGTTAGTTGGGTCACCTTGGTCTAAGGTGATTGTATTATTTATAAGATGAAGATAATTATATCCATTAGAGAAAACTGCTTTGAGAAGTAAATGTGCTAAGACTTACAAAGTGATGACACATCCGTGTGAACTCATTGTGCATGGCACATTATTTGTGTTAAATCAATAATAGATAGGAGAGGTATTAGTAGTAATTGAAATAACAGGAATCCTTTAGTTCCTATCGAGGCTACTCTATTGGTTGGCACCTGACCTTCTTACCCCAAATGATGCCTTTTCAATTTTGATTCACATATTTACTGCCCAAGGATGCCAAAGTAGCCCCAAGCTTCTTGTTCTGTCATGTTTTGGCTTCTCACACTCTAGTTGAAATTACTGTGTGCACAGTGCGTACGTCACTATGTACGCAATATTAATATTCTCTTCTGATTGCTTCTACTCTGCCACTGCACCAGATTGTGGAGTAGAAATTGGGTCCTAGGTAGCCCCTTTAGTGCCCAGCAGTGAGTAGAAGGACCACATAGTGTCCCACAGAGGTTCTAAAGGCAAATGCAGAGATTAATGCTCACGGTAATGCTCACTGAACTGACTCAGTTCAAAGGGGGCCGATTCAGACAGGGTTTCTTAGAGGAAGTGAGTGGTATATTGGCCTTTAACAATATGTAGGAGTTACCCCAGGGAAAGTAGGGACCCAGTGTCTCCAGGAGGGGGAACACAGGCATGAGAATGTTTGGTGCCTCTCAGTACTGCAGGAGGCCAGTGTGATGGAGAAGGGGCAGAAAGATCTCAAGCTCCCAGTGTGGCATTTCTTGCAGGCTGAGACATACAGCATGTGGTGTGTCTTTGAAGCAGTAACTCAATCCCATCATTATTCATGGATGCATTTGTCCCACTCCCATAGACAGATATCGCATCTGAACTCTGGGGTTCTCTAGCACTGGGCACACCCCTCTGTTTTTGTTATCACATGCCATATGAGAATCACAGTCCACAAACTGTATACATCATGTCCACTCACTCATACCACTCTTTATCTCCCAGCCAGCACCAGCACTGAGCACAGAGTCTGAACATGGCAGGTGGGGTCCCATGTGCAGTGAAGTGAAACCACATGGAGGAAATTTGCCTTTGGTTCCCTGGTAAAGACATTAAACTAAGGAGAGGAGCCCTCTATACAGCAGCTCTACTACTCACCAAGTGTCTGACTGGGGGTAAGTTTACGTCAAAACTATGGGCCTCGCTTTGCATCCTTATAAAATGGTGCATAACAATGTATTCATTTACACGTACAACTGATTGTAAGAATGCAGTGAGAGAATTTGGATTAATATTTATATAAATATTTATATATTTATATAAATATTATATATTTATATGTATATATAAATATATACATATTTATATAAATATATTTATATAAAAGGTGTGTGTATATACATATATACACACACACACACACACACACACACACACACATATATATACCTTTGACACTTTTTTGTCCAAGTAACCGTTATGGATAAATTTATGGAAATATAAATATTCATTATGTTTCTGCTATTTCCCCCATCCCTCTTCATTTTATAATGTCATACTCCAGTGTAATTAGCCACCAGGACCCCGCATGGAGGCCTGAGTTCTTGGGTCAAGTGCTGAATTTCAAATGTTTCCTTTTTCCAGTCCACTCACTCACTCACCTCCCTCCCCATTCGTCATCGTTACTATGATCTACATTCCATTCCCTCCAATGTCTGGCTAGTCTAGTGACTTCACTAAGGATACAAATGTTGATGGCAAAGGGACATAGGTTATCTCTAAGAAAACACATCTTCATGTTGTCATAAGACCTAGAGAAAATGAAGCCAATCAATAGAACAAGTCTAACAGAGCTGGGTTTCAATTCTGGTTTTGCTCCTTACTACCTGGGGGCGGGGTTGGTTGAAGCAACTTTTTGGATTTCTCTGAACCTCCTCCTATCTGTATGATGGGGCTTACAGCAACCTACCTTCAAAGTCATTGTGAAAATTGCACAAGCTCAGACCTGAAAATACAAAGGCGTTCAATAAAAGAAAGTACTTGGTAGTGAAGATTTTCAAGCATGGCGTAAAGATGCCATCAAGAACTTGGTGTGAAAAATTCTGTTTGGGTTTGGGATTCGGTAGCCTTCACATCACACTGAGTAGGCGTGCATTCACGCCCTCATCATCATTGCCTGCTTTCCATTTTCTATGAATAGTTTCAGAACTGCTTCCTGGATTCCACTTTTGCTATCTTCACCTGACACATTTTTTATCTTTAAAAAGCATGAGAAACAACACACTTCACCATTGCTAAAGTACTTCAGTGAACTTCCTTTGCCCTGAGAATTAATTTCAGCCTCCAGGACCCCACATGATCCTGCTCTGCTCACCTCTCCCACCTCATCCTCTGTTCCTTTCTTCAACCCTCACACTGCTCCAGGCATGCTGTGATTTTAGTGTATGTGCATATGCATGTATGTGTGGGGCTGGGATAATGTGTGTGGAGTCCACATCACAAGCCCTGCAATTCTCTAAGTATTTTTTGCGCATGAATTCATGTAATAACATCAATTAACCTTTGAGGATAATACTGTTATTATTCCCACTTTACAAATAAGAAAAACACGGCACAAAGAGATGAAGAGGTATGTAATGCGCAAATGCCAGGGCCAGGACTCAAACATACCCTGTCTGACCCACTCATGCTGAGTCCACTGAGCTCTTTCCCAAGCGCTACTCACTCGGACCACGATGCTCAGCTCATCAGTCAATTCCCACCTGGCCCTTTTTCTAAGGGGTCCTCCATCCCCGTTAGTCTCCCTCTAAGCACCTTGCCATTCTCTTCGTAATGCACCTCGCAACTGGATTAGATGCTCATCTGTTTCCTCAGTGGTTTATAGTCCAGTTGTCCAACACATCAGTGCATGCCATGAGGACAAGGGCCAGATGTACACTGTTTGCCACATTAATTCAGAGCCTCACACTGGACCCAGAAGGGTATGCCATTCAGAGCCACTTGTGAAATGAGCTGTGACCCATCAAGGTGCCTATGCCCAAGTGTGATGCTGCCCAACTGTCCCCTGAGTTCCTGCCACATCATCTATTTCACCGTTCAGAGCCAGCTGACCATCCACACTGGGAGAGTTAGTTTCTTCTGCAGGCCATGCTCAGCCACTAGAACTGGAACTGTGATCCGCGTGTGACTCACACACGCTTATTGGTGCAGCGAGGATGCATGGCCTTTAGTGAGAACAGAACTAGCCTGGTGGGAGCGCGGGAGCGTTCCTCTGACCACCACCAGTACCTGATAAGGGCCACACTTTGCTGTTCTCAGAGATTTCAGCCAAACACTCTGCACCTCCGCAATATTAATTACATTGCACACAACAGGCTCCAGTCATTTCCCAGACACAGAAACAGGTTTTTAAAACTTTCAAAGAAGGATCAAAGGTTTCCCCAACTGAATACTTCATACTCCTTCCTAGACATTAGGAATACTCAACACTCCCAACTTCACTTGGAAAGCAGATTTAAAATGATAATAATAAAGACC